CTCAGGAAGGAGGCAGAAGACAGTCTCTCCTAATTTGGGTGAGCTGCAAGCTTAGAACTCCATTTAAAGGCTTTACTTTATTAAAAAACAAAACAAAACAAAACTCCCCTAGAGTCTTCTGTTTGGATCATGCTTTTTCTGGTCATATATATCAGGTGTTCGGAGGGATGGCCTCGCTCAGAAATGATGAAGGTTAGGGGAGCCTGGGTGGCTCATCCACTTAAGCGTCCAACTTCGGCTCAGCTCATGATTTCATGGTTTGTGAGTTTGAGCCCCATGTTGGGCTCTGTGCTGACAGCATGGAGCTTGAAGCCTCCTTTGAGTTCTGTGTCTCCTCTCTCTTCCCCTTCCTCCCCCCCCCCCCATCTCTTATTAGAAATGGTTTACTGCTCTGGTCTTCAGATTTGGGCAAGAACACAAGGCTTTGTAGAAATGGGGGGATTCACTCAGCCTGGGGCACTCGGCTTCAGGCTGATGTGAGGGAATAATAAACTTCCCTGTGCAACTGAAGGATCCTGGATCCTGGAACATGGTTGCACTTTGATGTGTTTGAAGGCAGAATTTTGGTTTCACTTTGAAGTACCTTTTCTTTCTCTGTCAGAGTACAGGATGCCCTGAAGGCCAGGGAGAGAGAGGTCTACATTAAAAAACAAAAAAACACACAAAAATAAAAACCTTTAAGTCCTAAATACTTTCAGACAAAAAAAAATAGGGGTAATTATAGGCTTGGAGGAATTTTTTTTTTTTTTTTGCCTCTCAGGTAGTTGCACTTTGATTTAAATGGCTTTGCCTTAGGATTGTTGTCTTTAATCTTTCTTGATGGAGAAGGATTGTCTTCTTGAAGCTGGACCTTAGCATTGGCCACTTCCCCATCTCCAAACCCAGTAGGCTGATGGGGTCCCACACCATCTTGGAGAGGTCATAGAATGGGAGACACCATGCTGGATAAACCAACCCACAGTTGCTCCTTCCAGGCATTGGTCACCCCTTGGCCACAGATCCTGGCAGCCAAGAGGACTGATTTATTGGATTCTGACCCTCAGACTGGTCTTGACAAACCAACAAATTATTTAACTTTGATCACCCCTCTCCCTTCAGTCCTTAGTCATACAAATGCATATGACAGGATTTTGTCACCTATACTAGTTATTTTGATCCACAGCTTATTTTCCTTCCTGTGTAAGTAGGTGAAAAACCTGATGAAAAGACAGAACAGTGTCAAGAAGTTGTAATGATTATTCATAATTCTACCACCTGGATATATTCCCATATTACATTTTAACAAAGCCCCTCCCATTTTTACCACCACCCTTTTAAAGAACCATAATTAAGGTTTTATTGCACATAGTTTTTATATTCTGATTCTTTACTTTGTGATTATTATTTTATAACAGATCATTTCAAAGCGATTGTTTCTTTTGAATAGCCCCTGAACATTTGGTAGGCAGGGAAGGTATTTTTATTTTACTTTTTAGACAAGAAAATGGAATCTCAATGGAGTCCAATTTATTTTAAAAATATTTGTATACTGCATTCTGTGTTTTAAGCATCACAGTAAAACGTGATGTCTGAGGTCATTCAGGTAAGTGGTAGAAACACAACCAGAATATCAGTCGACCGACTACTGAACATATGCTTCTTCCACACCTCCAAGCTCCTATCTTCTTCCCCATGTATAGTAAGTTGACATTTGAGAGGAGAACATGGTATTCAAAGCAAGGTTGGAAATCCTGAGATGAGAATAAGCAAGGTAAGATCTAGTCTGATGGCCCGAATTTCTAGACAGTTTATGAAGACAAGGTATTAATCTCAGTGGATAGGGTAATAAACCCAAATAGCACAGCAGGATCATGGACTGAGGTCCAGCATGGAGGACACTGGAGATCCTTTCTACTGCAGCTGTGTATAAATGGAGATTGGGCCAAACATTGCGCTAGCTTTGAGGAATGTATTATACTAATGTAACATCTTAAATGGGGGGAAACTGGGTGTAGGGTATCTAGGCAGTCTCTGCACTACTACGACTTTTCTGTATATCTAAAACTATTCTAAAGTTGAAGTTTGTTTTTAAGAAATATGAGTAAGAATATACCAGATCCAACCCAAAGAAGGATGGTGTTACAGGCAGAAGGAACTGGATGCAGGGCCAGGAAGAAGCATGTTGTGTGAGGTGCATGAGGAAAGTGCGGGGTTTGGTGGGGTTGGCATGGACTATGCCTACATAAACTGAAGTGAAGCTGATGGTCAGGCTTGGATCTCAATGTAGAAGGCCTTTCAGAGGCCAAGCTTCAGAGTGTTTGAATTTTTTTCTTTAGGAAATGGGAAGTCATTCCAAAATTTTCTTTGACACAGATCATGTTTGAGTTTGTTTATTACAAGGGTACATATCAGCACAATGGAGGAGGCTGTAAAAGAGAGTGGGTGAGGGTAATGATATCAATGAGGAGAGTATGGCAATACTCTGGGGCAGAGGTGCTGCTGCCTTGAGCCAGGCAGGGGGCTAGAAAAAGAGAGTTGTATGGACAAGCATTGAGAGGCAGAGCCCTTCTTGCAGCTGAACTAAAACTCTAGAAGAACAGGGCTTCATCCCATCTGCTTTTTCCTGTGCCTCCGTTCTCCATTCTCATAACTGATTACAATCCCAGTAGAGAGCCAGGTAAAATTTCTTTGATCAACGCCAAGCAGAGCCCCAGTCCAGGTGCTTGCTCATCTAAGTCAGGGTAGCACAGAGTTGAGATGCCCCTTCACCTGAGTCAAGTAGGTTTGGCAGCACACATTAGGGATTCAAGTCTTGCTACAAGGTGGAATACCTAGTACTTGGGACTCACATGTTATCATTAGGACAAGATCACCTTCATTATGACTCTTTCGGTCATTGAGGTGGTCCAAGGACTTTGTTAACACCACCCAACTCAGTAGGTGCAGATTACCCATCAAGATTAAGCAGCTCCAAGGTCTGAGCTAAATAGTTATGGGGATAAGATACAGGCAGCACAAATACACATCATGACTCCCCTCATCCATGTCAGAGTGTCCAAAGAATGTAGGAAATCAACACCTTGACTCTTTTTGTCTGGGGTTGTGTCTTCCCTTTGACCAGCATTTTAATCTAGGTGCAGAAATTGACCCTGGGTCCCAGGGCTATTTCCTGAGACCCACTGGGGAAATAGTCGTAAGCTTTCATTCTGATGATACCAGTTCCCAGAGTGCGATATCTTTGCTATCCTTGAACAGGACTTTGGGTAGATTTTAACTTTGCTCTTTACTGCAGTGCCTCCTGAAATTAATTAGTGGTGGCTGTGAGGAGCTCCTCGGAGCACATGGCCATAGTACTAACTAAATGATTCATTCATCACTTCCAGGCATCCTGTTACTCAGGATGGAGTGGGTCTTAGTTGGTATTGTGTCCAAAGTGACAGCCAGAGTTTCCAGGTTCCTTTAAAATTTATTGTAGAATCATGTATCTTGTTCTGATGTTCCTGCTTTAGGCCTCAAGGTTCTAGTATCTTCCAGGTGGAATGGTCCCACAGATTCTGCAACATGGCCTCATAGCCAAAGCTCAGTGTGCAGACTCTGCTGTAGACATCAAGGCTACAGCACATGCTGGGAGAGTAGAAGTGTCCTTAGATGGTGCTACTGGTGGCTCCTTTAGGACATCTGGTGACATTTCTTCACAGACAGATGGTTCTTCTGCTCAGCCTAACTAGGGGACTTGTGGGCTTTCTCTGATGAAGAGTAGATGCTGCCTGCAGCTGTCTGATTCTTTAACCCCTTGCTCCTTAAATGGCGGTCATCGATCATCATCAGCAGTGTCACCTGGGAGCTTGTTAGACAGGAATAATCACAGGCTCCAGAATCAGAAAGTGCATATTAAATCCCTGGATAATTTGTGTGCATATTATAGTTTGAGGATCACTGCTTTAATCTATAGCAGTGGTTTACAATCCTGGCTATGCATTAGAATCACCTAGGGAGCTAAAATATTCATATCTAGCCCACTACAGACCAATTAAATTCGAATCTCTGGGGGTGAAGCCCAGACTTCAATATGTTTAAAAGCCTTCTTAAGAGAATCTAATACACAGTGACCTAGAAGAACAGGGTTTCTCAATGAGAATCACTGGGGAAGCATTAAAATTCCTCAGGCCTAAGTGCTGGGATCCTGATTAAATTGACTTGAGATGGGGGCTGGTATCTGTATTTTGTTTACATTTCACCAGTTAATGAGAGAATCATTGATCAGACAAAGAATTCATCATGGTTGCCTGGACACTGCAGGGATGGAGAGAGGGGAAGTAGATCCCAAGAACTTATGTGTCTCCTGTTGTTTATGAGCCAGGATAGGGTCTCCTTGACCACCTCAGGGTGCCCGTCAGAGATGCATCAGGCTATTGGATAGATTCTGCAAGCTCAGGAAAATATGGTGGATCAGAGAATGTATTTTCTTGGCCTATACCTTTGTATCAGGGAAAATTATGAAATGTGCACTACAGTGAAGACAGGCAGTGAGCTCTTGACCCTGTCTGCAGTAGGCATCGGGTGCAAGACAAGCTGTACACATGGGTCTTTTTACCTGGTTCACTGCTCAGCATCGTCCTGCCCTGGTGGCAGCAATGGCTGAACTCAAAGGCCCTCTGGTGTGGACAAGTCAAAGTTATAATTAAAGAAAGAAGACACTTTGTGGGAGACACAGTGACATGACCACAGTGGGTGGGCAGAATAAAATTAGAAATATTCATTCTAGAAACAAGTTCTTACCAATTGGCTTTATTTTAAAGACATGGCAGATCCTTGAGTTCCAGATGAGCTGATGGAGGAAGTGGAACTTTCTGTCACACCTGTATTCTTTCTAAGGTTTGAAGATGGCTCTCAGTGTCTGGGAAATGGATTGGACTGCTGTCCACATCTCTGCCTGACTCAGGATCCCAGTTGAGGAGGCAAGTTCCTCAGGTGCACACAGGTGCCCATTCTGTCCCTCACACTTCCTTTTTCCTTCACAGTTGGCGACGTGGGACTCAGAGAAAGGCCTGAATGGCAGCCTGCAAGAGAGGCCAATGGGCAGCCGCCTCCAAGGACTGACTCTCAAAGTGGTGACTGTCTTGGTAGGGATCATGGGCATATTGGGGAGGCTCACCATTCAGGATTTTGAGACAGAGGCTTCTCTCCATTTGGTTTAATACTGGGTTTGGAGAAAAGGGGATCTGGAGTAGTGGCTTGAATGTTCATAGGCCTTTCTGGCAAATAATTTTGCAAATAATGAAGTAAGAATAAGATTGGAGATTCTGCCCAGGGCTTTCCATGGGAGGTGACTGGGCTGCTCTAGAGAAAGATCACAAATCTGGATCCACTGCTGCCCAGCTCTACCTGCTCCTGGATGTAAACAGTATGTTGGACCTGTTGGTGGTCCTTAGGAGAACTTTGCTGGTAGCCAGAATCCCCAGAAAGATGCTTGGAGGAGGACATTCTTCCAGCACCCAATCCCGCTGATGGCACCTATGTGTCACAGACTTTATAATGAAGACCATTTGTTGCAATTTTTCTCCATGGTTGTCCTGGAATCATAGACTTTTAGATCTTTAAGAGACCTTGGAAGCACGTTCCTTTCAATTTCTTCCTTCACCCTTTCAGAGCTGTAGGAGACATCTTAGATTTACTTCTTATCAGCTGGCAAGACATGGTTCATATGCGCCCTCTGTTCCATCAGGCCCTGACATCTCCTTGCCCTAGAAGCCTTTGGCAGCAGTGTTCCTACATTCCCTGTATGCACATCACATAAAAAGCATTATAGCCTACCCCCCCACCCCCAGTTAAATTAATGAGGTATATTCTCCTAGGCTATTTGCCAAAAGTCCACTTCTTGTTCAGTTTCACAGGATTGTGGTGGGGAAGGCTGAGGACTGCGTGCCCTACAGGCGCACACATGACAAAGCACAGAATGTGTGAATGTAGCTTTGGGCTTGGAAATTGTGGGGTTTAATTCTGTCCTGTCCTTTGACTTATGGTATGACTTTCTCCCATGAATCAGAATCCATTTTCTAGTACAATCTGATAGATGGAATACTGTCTTCTCTCAATCTAATATCATAGAGCTTTTATTGTTATTCTTTATCCTGGATGAAAAGTAACCACATTTCTTATGTGGGTCCTGAAGAATTATGGCATTTCCGAAGTACAGAGTCCTGAATGTCACAAATGAAGGAATGAAAACAAATCATGTCATTCTGGCAATGGGGTTCTGGGCAGAGGCTGGGATAACATCACACAGAATAAGTAAATCTCCATTCCTCCATCAATATGCTAGTTGGAGGGATCTTCCCATGCACTATGCTCTGAGTTTCCATAAACTGCTTTTAAAAAGGGCAGGGACGTTCAGACTCCAGGCCTAAATTGGATAAATACATGCCCATGTTGGGAAACATTCTAGAGCTATGATTCATCAGGTTGATCTTTCCAATAATACCCTGGAAAGATATGTGTTAATGAACCTGTTATTTAATTGAAGAACATCCATTCTGTTGTCCTCAGGAAGAGCCTTTCGTGATGGTGGCTGAGAACATCCTTGGACAGCCCAAGCGCTACAAAGGGTTTTCAATCGATGTCCTGGATGCACTGGCCAAGGCTCTGGGCTTCAAATATGAGATTTACCAAGCCCCCGATGGCAGGTATGGTCACCAGCTCCATAACACCTCCTGGAACGGGATGATCGGGGAGCTCATCAGCAAGGTAAGTCCCAAAAGTAGGACCATGGGGAAGGGCACCCCAGTCTGACTCTGGGGTGATATCTAAATTTGATCCATTAGGCAGTTAGAGCCTTGGAACTAGCTAAACAGACCACAGCCTACCACTCAACTCTTCACTCTCTCTTTTCTTCAACCCACTCCTCCCTGCTATACCTGTTTCTGCTCTTTTATTTTCTCATTCCCTGGCACTCTGTGTTTTCCTTCAGTGCCCTTTGCTGTTTTTCTTTTTGAGCCTATCCACTGAGCCTGCTTTATAATACACCCTTCTTGAAACCCACCCCCGTATTTGGGCTGAAATAAGAACTTAGTTCTCATGGGAGGTATTAGTGAGTGCTTATTCTTTTATCCCTCATGACCCACGAGTGGAGTATGTATATGCGAGGGTGTGTGTGTGTGTGTGTGTGTGTGTGTGTGTGCATGCACGCATGTGCGAATGAGTGTGTGCATGTGTCTGTATTGTTGTGTATAAGTGATACAACACTCCCCACCTTCTCATTAATTTCAAATAATTACTCCTCCTGTCTCCTATAGAACCTGGGTCTTCATTGAGACTTACGGTATGAGGCCAGTTCACTGTGTTCCCATCCTTGCCCCCTGTCCTCCCATGACCTCTAGGTCATTTCCTTACAATCATTTTGATGATAGCATCCACTCAAGCCTTCCCTCACTGGTGATGCTGTTGCCACCAACTTTGACATTGCTGACATCCCTATGGACAGCCCTGGGCTCCCAGTGTTTTGACCACCTCACCTCCAGTGACCTTTGTTTGTGCTCCACATTAGCACCTGTACCGATGCATTTTGTTAGCATCCTACGTGTTACTCTCTCTGTCCCACTCCATGATGCCTACCTGCTTCTCTTATGACTCTTGAGCCTTAGCTCCTAAAACATAGGTCTTTTGCTTTATAAACTCATAAAGGCAGACCAGTCTCTCCAATTTCTCCTAAGCTTAAAAAAATTTTTGTTGAGGTTATTAATTTATAAATAAAATTCACCCATTCAGGATATACAATTCAATGATTTTTAGTAAATCTACTGAGTTTTGCAACCATCATTATAATCTAGTTTTAAATTTTTTTAATGTTTATTTATTTTTGAGGAAGAGAGAGAGAGACAGAACATGACCAGGGGAGGGGCAGAGAGAGAAGGAGACAGAATCTGAAGCAGGCTCTAGGCTCTGAGCGGTCAGAGCCCAATGCGAGTCTCAAACTCAGGAGCCATGAGATCATGACCTGAGCCAAAGTCAGATGCTTAACCAACTGAGCCACCCAGGTGCCCCTAGTTTTAGACTAATTCCCTCAACCCAATGAGATCCCTCATACTTATTTACAGTCAATCCCATTCCCAACCTCAGCCCTAGGCAACCATTGATCTATTTTCTATCTCTATAGATTTGCTCTTGAGAACATTTAATATAAATGGAGTCATACGATATACAGTCTTTTGTGTCTGCTCCTTTCCACTGAGGTTCCTCCTTCTGTAAGAATTTTGTGCCCTTGTGATACTGCATCCTTTCCTGCCTGATGTGCTCTCAGTGGTTGATCAGATAATCCTGTTCCCTTCATCTTTTGTGATTCTCTTTGTTCTTGGTTTCTTATTGTACTGAAACCCTGACTTGATTATATTATCTACCCTCTGACTCTGACATCGAAGTTGCTGCATGGAAATAGAGAAGAAAATCACAAATTTGCCCAGATGGGTATGTTAACAATGTGTGGCCTCCAACCTCAGCTAGGCCTTCAGGACAGCCCAAGTTCCTTACCCTGACCTTTGTTGAGCTGCTTGGCTATATCCCTTAGATAAATGGTTTCCTCAGTTATCCCTGGTATCCTCAGGGATACAGGCCATCCCTCTACCTGTGTCATGAATCGATCCCTTGTGCTTCTGGACCTGGCTTCATAAATTACTTTTCCTTATTCCTATGTTGTAAACCTATCCGGCTCTACTAGATCTCTTCTCAGTCCTTAAGTATGATCTGAACTCTCTAAATCCTTAAAAATAAATCCCTGGATCTTGAGTTTTTTAAAAAAGAGGCAAGAACCAGAGATGCAAATGTGACAACTCTAAGAGGAGAGCGTCACCATCATTACCTCCAACATTTTTTCTCTTTGCTCTAGATATGTTGTTGGATTTCAGTTTTTTATTTTATTTTAATTTAATTTTGTTTTGTTTTTTGGATTTCCTACTTTACAGTATCAGTGTATCTGCCCCCCCAGCCCATATATTAGACCTGATAATTTATTTTCTGATAAAATCTTTCCATGTATGTTTTCCCAATTTAAATATACAGGTTGGATTAGTTATTAGAGCTGGTTATTCTAAAACTTATTTTTATTTTTCTCTTTTGAGGAGATATTTTTCTTCTATTTTATTTTATTTTATTTTATTTTATTATTTTATTTTTCTTGAGAGAGAGAGAGAGAGTGTCTGTGCATGAGCATCGGGAGGGGCAGAGGGAGCTAGAGGATCTTAAGCAGGCTTCATGCGTAGCACAGACACAGGACTCAATCTCACAACCCTGAGATTATGGCTAAGCTGAAATCAAGAGTCGGATGCTCAACTGACTGAGCCACCCAGGTGCCCCTTAAAATAAACCTAGTTCTGATGATGCTTCCCACTTAGAGGTCCAAGAGTCAAGATCAGGATGGTCATTGTACATTTTAATGCTCCTGTGATTTAAGTGAGGACTCCAGGCCCATTGTTGCCTGTCACCATCCATGTAGACATAAGTATCCTAACCTCCACCAGTCTTGGCAGCTTTAATCTCACATATAGTTCCATCTTAATGGAGTCTTTGTCTATTTTTAAAATTAATCCCATCTTGGAAAGCAAAAATCTTACAAGATGCTTTAGAGGTCACAGTACAGAATGCCCAGAGAGTCTCTTTACAACGTGACTTTATGAAGAATCAACCCATATGTCTGAAAGGCCATGAATTAAGGGCAGTGGACACTCAAGAGAAGTAGATAAACCCTTTTTTCTTGGAGGACATTACTCTCTGGCATAGACTCTACATATAAAACAACCAGAGACTGAGACATTAATGAGATGTAAAGTAGTTGTACAACTCACTGTATAATTTCTGAAGAATCTCAGAAAAGGGAGACATCATGTGGGCTAATGGAAGTTTAGAGAGGCTTGATGGAGGTATAAGAAGGATGCAGATAAGCCTAAAAGAAAAGAGAAGAGACTTCTTGGTGGGGAGCAGGGATGGGGTAGAGGGAAATACAATCAAGAGAAAGAAGATGGTGAAAGTTTATGAGAAGAATAAGAGAGTGAAGAAAAACTACAATTCAAGCAGACAATTTAATGTTGGATTCTTTTTTACAGTATTCGAGGTCACAGTGTGTCACCTCTTGAATCCATTTCCTCTGGACTGAATAACCCAAAGGGCAGAGGGCGAACCTTGACCCAGGGTGGGACCTAGTAGGAAGCTGAGGACTGTTGTCTGATGAGGTGATTTTGCCTTTCAGAGAGCAGACTTGGCCATCTCTGCCATCACGATCACCCCAGAGAGGGAGAGCGTTGTGGACTTCAGCAAGCGGTACATGGACTATTCAGTGGGGATCCTAATCAAGAAGCCCGAGGAGAAAATCAGCATCTTCTCTCTTTTTGCTCCATTTGATTTTGCTGTCTGGGCCTGCATTGCAGCAGCCATCCCTGTAGTGGGCGTGCTGATATTTGTGCTGAATCGGATACAGGCCGTGAGGGCTCAGAGTGCTGCCCAGCCCCGACCAACCGCATCGGCCACCTTGCACAGTGCCATCTGGATAGTCTACGGAGCCTTTGTACAGCAAGGTACTTTCCTGGTTTCCTGATTTAGCAGTAGCCTCACGGCCCTGGAAGAACTTGCCCATGGGCAGCCTTCTTAGATGCATTTTGCCAAAGTCCTTTTAAATTCCGTTTTAGTTCATCTCTAGAACAGTGCTAATATCATGCTGCACCCAGTTTCTCTGAGTTATATCAGATAGAAATTAAATGAAGTGACAAAGAACTCAACTTCAAAGCCTGACTCTCCACTTTAGATAAAATTGACTTTGGAGTTCTGCTTTGCACTTTTCCCCCCCTCCCACATTAGATTGATTGTTATGCACATGAGGCTTGTCAGATGAAACTGAATCTCAATTAAATTTGAAGTCTTAATAGGAAAAAAGATCACAATTGTTTTGTAATCATCTAAGCAGTACTCCATCCATTCTTGAGATACAAAGTCCCCTTTCTCTGTGAAGTCTGGAGAGCCCTTGGTGAGTTATAGGATTATGCAGTTTGGACCAAAACAACAAATTGCCAAGTTCCTAATGTGAGTGTTGGCCTTATTTGCACCATGGCAAAGCATGTAGCGCCTGTTTGCAAGGTTATGTAAGAGCAGTCAGTGAGAAGCTTCCTTCGGCTACCACCTAAAGGACCAGGGAGAAATAATTGGCCTCAATGGGGCAGCTTCTGACTGCAAGTCACAGGCAATGATTTCTGAAAATCTTAGGGAAAAAAAAGTCATCTAGTGAGGGCTGAATATTAATAAAAGTTTTATCTCATTTCTGAGGTTTAAAAGAAAGCCGGGGAACCCTCCAGGTAGGAGGTAATTCTAGAATTCCGGAGACTACTCTCTATGAATTTGAAATTGGAAAAGGATCTTACATCGGGCTGCAGCCCTGGAAACTCAACACAGGGAGATAGAGTCTTCTAACTGGAAGATTTTGTTATTCAGAACTCTGTCCTTGGCGTTTTGACAAACACCACATCACTAAAAGACCAATCCTGCATTTTTCTGTATCTGGTGGGCCTTCATCCCTTTCTGAGATTGGTGGTCTTTGGATTCTTCCCCCGAATTTTCACAGTGGTCCCCCATAACCAGCCAGCAAGTTACTTCCCTGCTCCCCACCCCACCCCCAATGGTGGTTCCCTAAGCCAGGCCCCTCATCTCGGGGGATGGGAGTGAGAGAGGAAGCCCAGGACCAATCCACTGTGCTGGCCTCCGCAGGTGGCGAATCCTCAGTTAACTCCATGGCCATGCGCATCGTGATGGGCAGCTGGTGGCTCTTCACCCTCATCGTGTGCTCCTCCTACACGGCGAATCTTGCTGCATTCCTCACCGTGTCCAGGATGGACAACCCCATAAGGTAAGATCCATTTGTCCTTCCAGATCTGGGACCACTCAGCCCCGAGAGGCTGTAAAGCCCTCTTGTCCAGGGCAGCCCGGTGTCATCGTGGAGGCAGACAGACTTAGATCCCAGATCTGCGATTTGATTATTATAATCTTTAGCTCATGAAGAGTTTCACTCCTGTTGTATTTTATTTCATATGCAATTAAATGAATGTACAATGAATTAAATAATACTCCTCTGAACATTTAAATGCTACTTTTTAAGACTAAGAAATTAAAACATTAAAAATTAACAAATTAAATTTCCTCAGGCATTTAAACGTTGATTACAAACTTATTTAATCAAAATTTTCTAAACATTAAATTAAAATTAATTAAGATCACAAGTCTAAGATGTTTTCTCAAATCCTCAAACACCTTAAAAGTATTTTGAAAAACTGTCATTATCAGAGTGATTGGAAAAATTATTTCACGTATATTTATAAAATTATAAAATTACTGAAACCAGGAAATAAGAATGTTTCTTTGTTTTATCAAGTGTTAAAAATATGGCATAAAAGAATTAATTCAACATAGTGAAATAACTTGGGAATGCCTTTGTTTTAGGAGATTTCCACATACTATGTAAATTGCAAACTAACTTGGCAAAGTGAAGGGGTATTGGAAATGCAGTTGCTGAGGTGACCAAAGGCACAGATCGAGTCTACATTCCCTTGGGTACAATACTGCCTTCACTATCACCTCTCACTTGATCCCTGATTAAGGTTTTCTGTGTCCCTGCCTTCAGTAATTTCTCCTTGAATTCATCAAACTCACTATCATTTTATGGATTCTTTTGATCCACAGCCATACTGGTCATCCATACTTAACCAGCTAATCTGACTCCCAACTGCCTATTTAAAAGAGTTCAGACTCTGGCCAGGATTCAAAATCTAGTATGATGTTATCCAGTTTTATTTTTTAGTTGGTATTTTTACTGGGATAATTATAGCTTCACATACGGTTATAAGGAATAATGCAGAGAGATCTTGTGATATTCTCTAACTAGTTTCACCCTAGTGGTGACATTGACATTTTGACATTTTGCCCAGACTATTGTATCTTATCACAACTAAGGTATTGACATCAATACAACTGACTGATTCTATTCTGATTCTCCTCTTGTACTCATTACACATTTGGTTCTACACACTCTTTTCACATGTGCATATATGTGTATTCACCACCACAGTGCAAGTGCCAAGGAATTTTATTCCTGCAAGGATTCCTTGTGTTTTCTCTTTATAACCACACCTACCTGCATAACCCTTCTTCCCCTCTAGTCTTGTTCTTAACCACTGGTGACCACTAATGTGTTCTCCACTTCTAAAATGTTGACATTTCAAATATGTCATATAGATGGAATCACACCTTTTGGATTGCCTTTTTTCATTTGGCTTAATTCACCGGAGATTCATCTGGGTTGGTGTGTGTATTAATAGTTCATTGCTTTTTGCCACTTAGTGGTGTCCAATATACCACAGCTTGTTCACCAGCTCACACTTTAAAGGACACCTGAGTGTTTCCAGTTTTGCTCAATTATGATAAAGTCACTGTAGATATTTGTGTGAAGGTTTTGGTGTGAATAGAAGTTTTCATTTGTTTGTGATACATATCCAGGAGTGCAATTGCTGGATCACATGGTAATTGCATGTTTTATAAGAAAGTATCAAACTGTATTCCAGAGTGACTGCGGAATATTATATTACTACTAGTGATGTGGGAATGATCCAGTTTCTTTGCATCTTTGCCAGCATTTAGTATTTTCTGCCCATTTTCTAAGTGGATTGTTTGACTATTACTGTTGTGTGTTGAAAGTTCTTTATATATTTTAGATACTAGTCCTTTGTCAGACGTGTTGTTTGTAAATATTTTCTCCACTCTCTACTTTCTCTTTTCAATCCTTTAACAAAGTCTTTCACAGAGAAACGTTTTTAATTCTGTGAAGTCCAATTTATAAATTTATTCTTTTGGGGATCATACCTTTGGTGCCAAGTCTAATTCTTGCCTAGCCTTATACCATGAAGATAATCTCCTGTTTGCTGTGTTTCTCCTGAAAGCTTTGTAATTTTACATTTTGTATTTCAGTCCACAGTCAATTTAAGTTTTTTTTTTATTTAAGTTTTTTTATAAACTGTGAGGTTTAAGTGAGTTTTATATATATAATTGTAAAATGTGTGTGTGTGTATATATGATTTTGTCTATGAATATCCAATTGCTTCAGCATCATTTATTAGAAAGGCTATCCCTTTTTCATTGAATTTCTTTTGTAATTTGTCAGAAATCAGTTGGGCATGTGTGGGTCTATTTCTGAGTTTTCCATTCAGTTCCATTGATCAATGTGCCTCTCCTTTTGCCAATACTTCATTGTCTTGGTTACTATTGCTACAGAGTAAACCTTAATATATGGGTAGAGTGACTCCTCCTATTTTATTTTTCTTTGTTAAGATTGTTTTAACTATTCTAGGGCCTGCACCTTTCCACATAAATTTCAGAGTAAGCCTGTCTATGTTTATAAAGAACCTTTCCATGGCTTTGATAGGAATTGCATTAATTATAGTTTAAATTGCATTAAACCAATAGATCTTAACTTGCTGAGACTATTTATCATGAATGGGTATTGGATTTCTCAAATGCTATTTTTGGCATTGCTTGGTATGACCATATGATTTCTTTAGCTTATTAATATGATAGATTACATTGATTGTTTTTCAAATGTTATGTACCTTGAGTGTATCTTACCTGGTCATTATCTATGATTCTTTTCATATATTTTTGGATCCCCCTGTTTGCTGATATTCTGATTGAGGATTTTTGAATCTACATGCATGAGAAATATTGGTTTGCACTTTATTACTGTACTGTTTTTGTCTGGTTTTGGTTTCAGGGTAACACTGGCTTCATAAATAAAATGATTTAGGAAGTCTTCTCTTGTCTTCTATTTTCTGGGAGAGATTATATAAAATTGGTGTTAATTCATCTTTAAATGTTTGGTATAATTCTCCAGGGAAACCATCTAGAAGATTTCATATTCTTAGAGCTTTTAAATTAATAATTAAAATTTTCATAGCTATAGGGCAATTCATATTGTCTATCTCATCTTCAAGTCTAATTGGTTTATAGTGCTGATCATATTTTCCATTTACTTGCTGATCTTCTGTTGCTGTTGTTTATCAATTATTGAAAATGGGATATTAAAGTCTCTGCCCATTTTTTCAGAACTGCCTATTTCTCCCTTCGATTTTATCAATTTTGATTCATATATCTTGAGATTCTGTTGTTAGGTGTAGATCTGTTTCTAATTGTAATTTTTTTATATTCTTATTGAATAACTGACCCTTTTATCATTATATAATGTCCTTCTTTGTCTCTTATAAAAACTTTTCCCTTAAAGTTTACTTTGTCTGATATTAGTGTAGCCATTCCAGTTCTCTTTTGGTTATTCTTTGCACAAAATATATTTTTTATTCTTTTATTTTTGATCTGTTTTTCTTGGAATCTAAAGTGAGTCATTTCTATACAACATGGAGTTTTACATTTTTAAATCCATTCTACCAGCCTTTGTTTTAGCTGGTGACTTTAATCCATTTATATATAATGTAATTAGTGATAAGGAAGAACTCACTTCTGCCATGCTGCTATTTGTTCTCTGTGTGTCTTACACCTCTTTTGTTCATTTCCTCCACTACTGCTTTCTTTTGTGTTGAAAAGATATATTTTGTGTACTATTTTAACTCCCATGCAGTTTCTTTTACTATATATTTTTGAGTTCCATTTTTAGTGGTTGCCCTAGGCATTTCATATAACATCTTAATTTATAACAATTTAATTTGGAGTAATGCAAACTTTATTTTAATGGTATAAAAAAATGTTTCTCCTCTGTCACTCTGTTCCACTCCAACCCTGCCCCAACAACTCCTTTTTGAAGATGTCTGTTCCCTTACTTTTTAGGAAGTAATTAAACATTTTTCCCCAATTTATTCAATGGGAAGTCTCCTGTATTTCTAATTTTTAAATTATTTTATTTTATTAATGTTTATTTGTAAAAGAGAGAGTGCAGGTCGGGGAGGGGCAGAGAGAGAGAGAGATAGAGATTCAAAGCAGGCTCTGCACTGACACAGTGAGCCCGATGCAGAACTCAAACTCATGAACCGCGAGATCATGACCTTAGCCAAAATGGGACAGTCAACTGACTGAGCCACCCAGGCACCTCTAAAGTACCATTTTTTTTGTTTTTAACCGATTGGATAAACTTCACAATTTGTTTTAAGACAACTTTAGATATTAGAATAATTATTAAAATACATGTGTATAGTTTTTAATTTTAGTTTCTAAATTGTAAAATATACATAATAGAAATTTTATCATTTTAATCATTTTTATGTGTATAGTTTAATGTCATTAACTATGTTCACATTGCTCTACAAACATCACCACCATCCATCTCTAGAATACTTCATACTGCAAAACTGGAAGTCTACACAATACTCTCCATTCCCCCCTTCCCCAACCCTGGAAACCACCATTCTGTTTTGGTCTTTATAAATTTGACTACTCTCAGTGCCTTATATAGGTGAAATAATGCAGTTTTTGTCCTTTTATTACAGGCTTAATTCACTTAGCGTGTCTTTAAGTTCCATCCATGTTGTAGCATTGTCTGAATTTCCTTCCTTTTTAGAGCTAAAAGGCATTCCATTACATGCTAATACCACACTTTGTTTATCCATTCATCTGTTGAGAGACACTTGTGTTGCTTCCAGCCTTTGGCTGTTTAATAACCCTGCTGTAAACGTGGGTGTACAGATGTATGTTCAGTATATCTTTTCGGTACTTTTGGGTATACCATCAGAAATGGAATTGCTGGATCATCTGGTAAGTTTGTGTTTATTTATTTTTTTAGGAACTACTTACCATATTCTACAGCAGTTCTACCACTTCACATTCCCACCAGCAACTCACAAGATTTCTAGTTTCTTC